CAGTTAATATGTGGAGAACAACTGACTGAATGGTATGGAGGACATAAAGATACAAAACCCAGTCTCTGCCCTCACAGAGGTTACCGTTTCGTGATCTCGACCCGGAACACCCTTTCTCCTGGGTAATGTCGCTGCACCCGTGAGTTAACCCTGTCACTTGTCCTATAGCCCTACCTGCCGCTGCTGCAGCTGCTGGAGGCCATGCTGCCGTTCTTCCTCTGAATTGTAGAAGGGCATGGAAGTGCGCAGCGGGATCAGGAGCTGACAGATCTTCTCATGGATGCTGCCCCAGTCAGCTCTTTGATGAACCGCACTACTGACAATAAAAACACAGACTTGATTAGCTTTCCTTCCTGCCTGGCCTGAGATTCTTCTGGCCCTGCTCCTGACCTGCCCCTAAAAACTAGAAAGGTTAGCCCGACACAAACCAGGCAGGGAGCCCAAAGCCATTTCTGACACAAGCTCTTTTCTTTCCTGTGGTTATTTAATGGTAGATAAACGAGGTTGGGGCGGGGAAGGGTGGCAGAGGATGTCCGTTCTGCAGGCACAGATACACATTCCCAAGTCACATGGTGATGCTGTGGCTATTTTGCCTTTGTGCTTAATTAATAACAAGAAAGACAGCTTTAACTCTGCATTGTTCTAAGGTCGTTTTCAAAATATCTGAACCCTGAAGCTGAAGAATTTGAGGGTCTTTTTCTTGGGGGAGGGAAAGGAATTTATGTTTGATGAGGCTCTAGGACAGTGGTTCTCAACCTTCCTAATGCCACGACCCCTTAATACAGTTCCTCATGTTGTGGTGACCCCCAACCATAAAATTATTTTCGTTGCTACTCTATAATTGTAATTTTGTTACTGTTATGAATCGTAATGTAAATATCTTTGTTTTCCGATGGTCTTGGCGACCTCTGTGAAAGGGTTGTTCAACCCCCAAAGGGGTCACGACGCACAGGTTGAAAACCGCTGCTCTAGGAGACACTTTCCTATTAATATAATTGGTGCCACCATGTTGTATGGCTCTGGAGAGCAACACTTGCATTGTCTTCTGTCTCGTGCTCCAGGGGTGCCAGTCACAGAGAACACACAAGCCAGGGGTGCAGCAGGTGGTCTTCATGGAACTAATTAACTTTTTGGAAAACCAAACAAAATCTGTCATTACCATTTGAGAAGTAAAGAAACATGGGTGTGGAGGGATGGAGTAGTTACTCTAAGCTTGTACTCCAAAGCCACTTGTTTTTTAGCTCTCCAGAGAGCACTGTGACAGTTTGGTATACAGCTTTTGACTGTTTTACATGCATATTTAGTATTTTTAAACACTCAGTTAGACAGCACAGATGTAGAACATTTTGCCTCACGGCAGGAAAATTGTACTGGGCAGCACTCCTGCGGAGTACTCACTCCCATTCCTTAAATAACTGCCTCTATGAATGACTCTCAACTCGACTACGCAAATGTAACCCTTCCTCCAGTGATGGTGGTTTGGTTTTTTTTAAAATACATTTTAATTGATATATAATTCACATACCATAAAACTCACCACTTAAAAATGTACAAGTCAGTGTTTTAAAAAATATATTCACAAGGTTGTATAACCATCACACTATCTAATTCCAGGACATTTTCATCACCCAAAGAAGAAACTCCATTTACTCGAGCAGTCACTGTCATTCCTCCCTCCACCCGCTGATGCCCAGAACCACCCATCTACTTTCTCCATGTATTTGCCTATTTTGGACATTGCATATAAATGGAAAGAGACAATATGCAGCCTTTTGTCCCTAACTTCTTTCACTCACTATGCTTTCAAGTTTCATCCATGTGGTAGCATGTATCACTGTGTTATTTCTCTTTATGACTGAATAATATTTCACTGTATGGATATATCACTTTTTGTTTATCCATTTCTCAGTTGAATGTCTGGCTTGTTCCCATTCTTTGGCTATTATGAATAATGCCGCTATGAACATTCATGTTTAAGCTTTTGTGTGAAAAAATTGTTTTCAATTCTCTTGGGTATATACCTAAGAATGGAGTTGCCGGGTCATATAGCAACTCTATGTTTAACTTTTTGAGGACTGCCAAACTGTTTTCCATAAAAGCTGTACCATTTTACATGCCCCCCAGCAATGTATGAGGGTTCCATTTCTCTACATCCTCACCAACACTTGCTAATTTCTGTGTTTTTTATTCTAGCCATTCTAGTGTGTGTGAAGTGTTATCTCATTGTAGTTTTATTTTCCATTTTCCTAATGACTAATAATGTTGACCATCTTTTCAGGTGCTTACTGGCCATTTGTATTAATATATCTTCTTTGAAGAAATGTTTATTCAAATCCTTTGCCCATTTTTTTTTAAAGATTTTATTGGGGAGTTGGGGGAGGGGAACAGTGCTGGGGAATCGAGGGGGACGGAGAACAGACAAGTTGCTGTTGTTTTGTTCTTCAGTCTAGTTGTGGAGGATGTGGCTTCACTGGCCCAAGCTGCCATCATCATTGCTCTCTTCCCGGGTGAGGCAGATCAGTCGCCGGCCTCCGGACGGACACTCACGGTGGCTGCTGGCCGCTCACGTTGGCTGCCAGCTACACACGGTAGCTTATGGCAGCCCACTGCAGCAGGAGCTGTGGCCTACACCGTTGCCGGCGACCCACGGCAGCCCAGCCCCAGGTCGAGCTGCCATTCACCATCTTAGCTGCAGAGGGCAGTGTAACTGGTGCTCATATGTGGGATCCGAACCAGGACCCTCTGGCGTCCCAAGCCAGTTCTTAACCAACGCGCCACTCGGCCGGCCCCCTTTGCCCATTTTTTGACAGGGTCTTTTGTCTTCTTATTGTTGAATTTTAAGAGCTCTTTACGTACTGTGGGTTCTAGATCATTATGATTTGCAAATATTTTCTCTCATTCTGTGGCTGTCTTTTCCTTTTCTTGTTAGTGTTTTCTGATGCACAAAAGTTTTTAATTTTGATGGCGTCCAACCTATCTTCCTTTGTTTCCTAATGCTGTTGGTATCATATCTAAGA